TCTTTTCTCCTTTCTTTTAATATTTTTTTTTTTTTTTCTATGTATCATACACGATGCAAAGGAACCGAGGAAAAGTTGTGATGTCACGTGTGCGACAAGAAAAAAAGCTTCGATATATCCTTCGATGCGAGAATGTTAAAGGAAAGAGATAAAAAAGAAAAATAAAATTAAAGATATAAAAAAGAAAAAAAGATCTGGAATTTTTCGTAAAAATAATTTTGAACAATTATTATCTTGGATCTCTGATTTAGCCAAGTATATACGACTATATGTACGGTGATTAATTATAACGTTTAAATTGCAAATCGGCCGCTAAAATATGTCGAATCCCTGGTGGTTAGGGGGAAGAGAACGTTCTCGGATGTATGACGCGATTGTACTTTATATGCCGCGTTCATATATCGCAACTGTCCCGTTGGAAACGTTGGCTCGCCCGTTGCCCATCGAGGGGCGATTTTTCATGCAAATTTGCCCGCTAGATCGATGGTAATTCTTCTGAAACCATTAGTATTCCGTGTAACTGTGAGATATATATGTGTATGTGTATATATATATATATATATTATTTTAATTATTAATTATAAATCGACGATTTAAAATTGAGGAAAGTATAGAGATAAGTTTTTTTTTTTTTAATAAAATTCTACTCTTGAAGTTTTATACGTTTTGTATATTTATCAATGTAAGAATTAAATTTCAAATTTTTTATTCGATCTTTGGAGAGAAGAAGAAACGCATCTTCTTCATTTTCTTCTTCTTTTTTTTTCCTTTAATACAACTGAAAATGTATAATAATAAAAATTCTAACTTCAAAAATAATTATCATTCATATTGTAATATTTTATTTACGATAGAAAGAGATCGATTTTTGCGATTTTTATTATTGTTGTTCGACGATTATTATTGTTGCAAAAAGAGGCGGAAAAATAGAGTGAGAACTGCTTCCGCTTCTCGAAGGGAAATCACGCCCTTTTTGTTTCCATGTCTCATTAGGACGAGCCCCGAACTCGTTATCTCCTAAATCACGCGAGTACTGCGAGAATACTTGCTCATCTGCACTGTGCTGCTTTTTCCGAACTGCAAAACGCAGTTCGTTCCTCTTCGTGAATATTCGAATGTATATACAGTTGAAAAAAAATCTGATTTTTGAATTAGTTCAAAAAATCATTTTATCCTAATCCAACGAATGGATTAGGATCAATGCAATATCTATTTTTGAATCAGTGATAAGAAATCGAAAGATAATACGTATTAATTTTGATAAGTAGTCTGTTGTGATATAATTTGAAGATATCTATACATATGTTAAGTGGAAAGGTGATAAGAAGGAAGAAAATGAATTTTTCAAAAAATTTTTTATTAGATTCCGTATAGAAAAACGTATAGAAAATATTTCCTATGATGCGATATTCAAAGAAATTAAAAAATGAAATATCAATGTAAATGAGAGATGACATTAATAAGAAGAACCATTATATAGAATATTAAAGAGAGAATTTTGAGTTAATGATCTTTGCGACGTAGGTATAGTTGATTCTTATTTGATAATTAAAGTTAATGTTCGATTGTCACGGTTCGAACTTGGATGGGTGACCGTTTGCAAATACCATGTTTTATATATATTATTGTATCGATGTTTTTTAGAATACATTTTAAAGTAGAATTCTTTAACTAATGAAGCAATTTGATTCTGATTAACAACAAATAAAATTCAACAAAAATTCAATAAAATTTGTAAAACGAGATAAAAAAGAAAAATATACTTGTAATAATAAATAAATAAATTCGTGTAACATATCAAAAAAAGAATTTGAGAAAAAAAGAAATGCTTTACAATACCAAAAAAAAAAAACAATTTTCACTAATAAAAAAAAAACCAATCGTGAAAAGAGTCTTAAATAATCTCTACTATCATGTTTCAAAATTCTAAAAAAAAAAAAAACGGTGTTAAAATGTATTTCCTAAAGGAGGATAGAACACAAATTTGTATGCAAAGGAAGAGAAAAAAATTCTCAAGAAGCCCAACTACCACCACTATCTCTCGAGGAAAAATTCCTTCAACAACAACAATAACAAACAACAACAAAAGCACAACATCTCGGAGTGTTCAACAACGCGTGTCCCCCAAATGCTTACACAGAGTGAACGTACATCAGTCGTTGTGAAGAAAAAATTCGACTCGATATAAAGCTTTGAGATATTAACATGACAGGCAAAAGGCAGCATCAAATTGCTGGACCTAAAAGCAAGCGGCCCCTCTGCTAAATCGTCCGTGCTCTTCTAATGGAGTGCCAGCGGGGGAAGTTTAGTCCCCATGGGGTTGTTCTTTCTTCATCACCCACTATATCTTTATGCTTTCAGCTCTCTCTCCTCTGCTTTCTAATAAACGTGTGTCATAAGAAAGAAAGAAAAAAAAAAAAGAAAAGGATAGAAGGAAAAAAATTACGAAGAAAAAGGGCAATTTCCAAAATTGTTGTTCGAGAGAGCCACGGGATCATCCGTTAATTGCCGTTCGAAGAAACGTGGCAAACGATTGTTCGAAGAAGAAGCAAAATCCCTCCTCCCCTCTCTCCTTCCTTTGTATATGACAAATTAATTCAACTTTCGTGATATACCTCTCGAAGATGTTCTTTTCCAGCTTGATGCGAGTGAAAAAGCTGCGGTGCAGCTTCGCACGGGTTGTTGCACGCGATACTAATGTCCTCGTTACCGTGCTCGAAAAACTATGTGTTTCTTCTTGATGGAGAACGGGAAGTGGGAGATCATCTCTCTAATCGATCTTGACATTTTTATAAACGAATATAGAAAAATGAGAGAGTAAAAGATGAATAGATAGTAGAACGAAAATTATGGAGGAACAAAAAAAAATATCAATTGATTTTCGACGAATCGAATACCCGACGATTCAAAGATACAAACAACCTTTTTATTTTTAATGATGGTACGAATGATGATAACATAATCTATATACCGCGACATATACATATATTGCGTGCTATTTTGACCCGGTTTCGATGATTACATCCACGGTGTCCAAGGGGGGAGGTAAAATGGCGTTTCAAGTCTGCAAAAATTGCGTGTTTTATCAACCTTTGGGTTGGCAAACTCGCGACGTCAAAGTGGTTGGAACACGGCGGAGCGGCAATTTTGCAGAACTTCTCGGTGCTTTAAATAGTTATGATCGAAGGAAGGAGCGGCAGGATGTCGGGAGGGGTGGGGGGAGTGATAAGAGAATCGCGGCTGTAAAAAGATGCATCTTGAAGCCGTGAGTTTTTCGAGCCTCGAGACACGCTCTCATGCATCTTTAGAGCATAAAAAAAAAAAAAAAAAGAAAAGAAAAGAAAAGAAAGGAAACCGGGGAAACTTTTCCATCCACCTTGGCACACCACCTCCATATCCTCGCGACACCTTGTTCCCTCAATATTTCACTCCATCTCGCGGCTCTCTCCTTCCTGCTTCCTTGTTCTCGATAAAGATGTTAATGCTGAATTTCAATGGAATTCAATTGTTTTGAATTTTACGAGAAATCGTGGTGGAAAAGTAAGTTTGGAAGGCAACTTCGCGAATGCTTATTTTTAGAGTGATAAATATTTTTCGAAAATAGATTTCTTCTTATTAGTGATTCATCTGTAGCACACTATGTTTAGATCCATAGAAGTATATACGTGAAATTATTGAATATTAGAAATTATTGGAACGAATGCTGCATTATAGAAACTAGATAAACTTAGTTTTGAAAAAATTAAAAATTAAAAAACGTAATGGAATAATTACGAATTAAAATAACTTTTTAATCATCGCATAAATTCCTTAAATTTATCTGTAATTTCTTAAATTTAAAAATGATATTTTTAGATTCTCGTTTTACTATTAGAATACGCGCAAAAGAAAAAAAGAAAAGAGCGAAAAATTATTTTAATTCTACAAAATGAAAATTAAATTATACGTAACGTAGAATTGAAGTTAAAGTCTAAGCTAATCTCTCTATNTATATATATATATATGTATATATAAATCCATTCCACGTTCTATATTATGACTTCGATATTATACGAGAGAAAGGGTTCATCGACATCACTTTAAACGTTCGTCTACCTTCATGAAATAAAAATTATTTCGAAATGGATGGAAAAGATGGATTCCAAAGTCGTTTTCGAGGATATATAACTAGTTTTGCTGAGTACGAGTCTATGGACATATCCATTATGGTATTCAAAGAGTGGAAAGGAATAAGAATATGGAAAACACGAGGCACGATCAGGTTATGTCTGGTGAAGGGACTTGAAGTATGCTTTGACACGAGAGATTGTCACACAATCTCCTCACTTGACTCTGACTGCCCATTCGCCGCTATATTGCCATGAAAACCAACAGGAATTCTCCTTAACCTTCGTCAGAGAGGTTGAAATCAACTTGGTCACCTTAAATCTCGTATTACTTCATAGTCGAGCAACGGAGATTATGGTCCACAAAAGGTGTCTGTTGGCAATGAAGATATACTTTTGGTAACGAAATTAGGTTAGGTTTCATTTATTAATAAACTAAACTTTCGAACTGAAAAAAGGAATTTTCAATCAGAATTATCATACTTAATTTATCTATTGTTTGAAAATTATCTAATCAAACTTTGAAATAACCGCAAGACACAAAATTAGAATTCTCTTTTATTTCGTTCGTAGTATCCGTTACTTTAATCGACGAATAACTGTTTAAAAAAATAAATTAAATTTCAACGTTTAGAATTACATAAAATAAACAATTCGATACATTTAGGAATTCTCGATGAAAAAAAAAAAAAACGAGAAACGAAACAAAACAAAAAAAAAAAAAAACATACTACTTGATTCTCTTGAAATTGACCGTGTGTGACCGTTGGTCGGTAACAATATCGGCTAAAGTCGAACGAAAGCGCGGGAAATCGGTGGAAATACGAACCTGATCTACTTTACACGTACTCTCTTCCCACTGTAACGCTATCCAAAACGGCGTGCGATCGGATTGTCTCGAATGAGCATGACATAATTGTGAAAACGAGATGAACCAGCGTCGATCCAATTGCTGAAACAACACCGTGGTCGACGTACTCTCATATCACGTTGAAGTGGTAGCGAAGTCCGGTCTGTCAGCTTGAAACAAGAGCATCCAGCCACGGTTTGTGTTTATCTGAAACGTAATATGAGGGAGGGGACACTTTTGACAGT